GCATATTAATTGTTTTAATTAAATACCCACTGAGTTTACTTAGTAAACTCAAACAACGAGTTTAAATGTTTCAGGTAAGTTCCTAAGAAAAAGAAATGACAGAGAGAGAAGAACATGTTTACAGAAGACGAGGAACAAATGACAACAGGTAATATGTATTTTGTGTTTTAGTGGCTCTTTATCATGAATGATGTAGTATTATGTTTAATGAATTTTATCGTCCGACTTTTCGTACCCGCCTCGTTAGATCGAGTATCCGGGCCGGGTCGTGACACAGGTATTGTGAAAATTGGTGTAAATAGATAGTGTCTATCAAATTTTTTTTGCAAATACTACAGGTTTCCGGCGGCTAACTAACGGTTTAGCCATTGGAAACTTCGATGCCGGATAGCCTATTTAGCGGTCGATTATTACCAAGCCGCCGGATAGACCGACATTTTCTACGGCCTGTACGCCGTCGGTAATTAACTAGCAGGCGCCGGCACTGTGACCGCCTGAATTTATCGGCGGCACAAACTGCCGGTACGTTTAGCCGCCGAAAAATGACCGTCGAAATTCCTTTCATACTCGGTTTATACCGGAGATTTTAAAAACACCGGAAAATTTTCAAATTGCGAAAAACTTATCTTAACAATCGGAAACGGCCGCGAGTAATTGACCATTTTCCTATAGTATTGGTAGAGTAATAACCTTGCATGTCCTCAAGGTCTATGGTCCAAGAGGAAGTCATGGTGAGCTAGCTCGTCGTCGGTAATCGTCTGATCGAGGTACCTTCTTCAACTGCCAGCCCCATGCATCCATCGAATGAGATGCTGCCAAAGGTGTTTGGCATCACTGTAGAGTTGTCGTGATCTCGTAATGGTTTCAGGCTTCACAGAGGCAAAAGTTAAGGTCATTAGTGCTATGGTTTTAGCAAGGAAACATGGAATCTTGGGCGAATTCGACAGCACGTGGCTGCATGTCCAGTTTATATATTTGCTACGTTTCAATACTTTGAAAGGTCGACGTCCAAATTGCCACTTGCTGAGCTTGGAATAATGACCACTTCAGTAGGATTCCTGATGAGGTCGTGGCATAAATTGGGAATATTTTATGAAACGATCAACTACAAATTACATTATGTTGCTCTTATTGTTTGAGGGATGTAATTATCATTCAGAGGCTAAGAGTTGGTATTTGGTAGCTTGGCGGATCAGGCAACTTTGGACGAAGGTAATGACACCATGTTTAAGATTTGGCTAATAAAAATGTGTTAGAGAAAAAAATTGCTTTAAGGGTGGAAGAGGATATGACAAAAGAAGAGGAATTTCTATTAGATTTCTTTCTCTCTTGCATCAAATGACAAGACTCAAAGCCTTTTTATACTTGTACGAAGGTCATTTTAAGAGCACAATATAGAGATTTTCATAATAAAAGTTCAACTACTAATCACTAAAAGTTATTTTATATTCTAGATATTTCTTCCATATATACAATTTTCTAGATACTTAATTTATTTTGATTTACATTTCAACACTCCCCTTAAACCAAAAATTTTATCAACTACTTCAAGAAGTATCTTTAATTTTATGAACCATTATACAGCTAATTGTTTTGTGAAAATATCTATAATTTGATCTTCAAATTTCACATACTCCACTTGAACATCTTTATCTTTAATCTGATCTATTATATAATAAAAATGAACATCAATATGTTTGCTTCCATTATGATAAATTGATTTTTTTGATAATGCTATTGTTGATTTATTATCTACATAGATTTTTTTACCTTCGACTTGAGAATATTCAATCTCTTTCGGCAGCTTTTTCAGCCATATTGAATGACATAAACATGATGATGCAGCAACATATTCAGCTTCACAAGTAGATAGAGCAGCAACTGATTATTTTTGCGAGCTCCATGAGAATGCAGTGTCACTCATATAAAATAAAAATATGCTTGTACTTTTTCTATCATCTTAGTCTCCAGCCTAATCACTATCTAAATATCCTGAAAGTTAAAATTCATTAGAATGAGAATATAAAAGTTCATGATTTTGTGTACCTTTAATATATCGAAGAATTATCTTGGTTGCCTTCAAGTGTGTCTCAGTGGGTTTTTTCATGTAGCGGTTAACAATTTCAACTGCATATAAAATGTCATGTCTTATACTTGTTGAATTTCTTTAGATACTTCAAGTTGCATATAAAAGCATAAACAAGATAAATAGGATTCGACTTCAAACTCGATCTCCAAGTCAAATTCGAGGCACTTCAAATAAAGGAAGCATAAAATATGAAGGATTATTTCATAAGAGTCTTAACTTTCGTCAATCAACTACGAAGGTATGGAGAAAAATTAGTAGATATTCGAGTGATTGAAAAAATTCTATGTTAAGTAAATGATAAATTTGAGCATATTGTAGTAGCTATTGAGGAAGCTAAGGAGGATATCATCAAGACATCAAGAAATACAATAATGAACTATCTTAGACATGATTTGAGATTATTTTTCATAATATTTTGATATGTGAATTAGGCATTAATGAGAATGAATAATATAACTAAAAATTCATAATGGTCTCCATATATTTGAAAGACTATTTTATGAATGCTTTTTTGCCATACTGGTTGTATCAAGAGATGCAATTTAGGCTTCGTTTGAGACGGCTTTTTTACAGCTTCATAAAGCAGCTTTATAATATAAAAAATTATTTTTTTTACTAAAAAAACTGCTTTAAGAAGTCGTAAGAAAGTCATCCCGAATAAAATCATAAATTTGAAATATATTGTACCATCTATATTTGTTGAGCATTTCATCAATTATTAGGATTAGAAATTTGTTTTATATGATGATATGATTTAAAAGGCGATAATCTATAAATATTCACCACATGACATTATGAACAAGGACTAGTACGTGATCAAATTAAACTTGATTGCAGCATTTAGAGTATAAATATTTCAACGGTAGTTTTCTGGAAGTGGGGATATCATACGATTATACATTAATTGAGTGTGCTCTACGGATAAATGGATTTGGCGATCCTTTGCTCAAGTTGACGGAAAAGTTCTGGGTTGCTCAAATAAGTGTGAATATCAATCGAGGATAGGATGGAAAAATTATTCTGTGCGGTCACCGGCGGTATCCGGAGACAAATCAGAGCGCGTATTGTCACTTTTTTGTTGTGTATATACTGAGTGATATGACGGGTTCTAATTTATCTCCGAACGGTCTGATGGCCGCACAGAATAATTTAATTATGGGATGAGATGGCAGTAGCATTTGGTGGAATGTTCTCAAGATGAATTAACTCATTTCTTTTAATCATATTACAATAATGTTTGAATTTTATTCCACTAATTTAAAATTGAAATATGATAACCTTCAACTTATTTATATTAATGTGATCATGGTAACAGTGGTCAGCAGTGATGGTAGCATTGGATCATGACAATTATTTAAAAAACACTTAAAAATATTATTTCAATAATAAATTATTTATTTTTTTTAAAAAAAATTAAATATAGTTAAAAAATGCTAAATAAATAAAATATTAAAATGTTTTCACATATATCCTAGAGAGTTTGTTAAAAGCTCTAGAAACTTCCAAAAAGGAATAAATATATAATTGAATGATACCCATAACTTTAAAAGTTCAAATTCTTCCTTGTTTATTTTATCCTAATAATCCCATAAGAAAATACTTATAGAATATAAAAAAAATCTAATAAATTAATAACAATCTAATAAATATTAATAAACCAAAAACTATCATACACATAATAATTCACCAAATTATTAGTTACTTTTAGAAGAATTTAAAAATATGTCATAGAATTATGATGTATATCTCACATAAAATTTTTTATATTTATTTATATAATATCATAAATTTTAAATCATATAAAATATTATTAATATTAATTTATCTAATATATATTGATCTAATTTAATATTTAAATATTATATAAATAAATGAAAATTTAAATATTATACATATAAATAATAAAAAATTAAAAATTGTATTATATGTTTGTAAATTTGTAAATACCCCTCAGATTTACCAAAACGCGCTTACTCAGCAGGAATAGGCAGTTCAATCCCTTAACTTAACGTGGGGAGAATGGCTTCCGTCTCCGCGATGAGCCAAGCGACTGTTGCTTCATAATCACCTCTACTCGGTTCTGTTTCTTAATGCCCTTGCTATCGTTTTCTTCAACAAGTTAGTGTCTTTTGGGGTAGATTTGAGTATTTTGATACAATTATTTTTTGTGTGGTATTAACAAGGTATTGCTTCACTGAATCTGCTGCGGTGTTGTCGATTTCGCTCAGATTTGCTTTTCATTTTTTTTTTCTGGCTGCGGATTTTTGGGATTTTCTTTTAAATTTTTCGCGCTGATTAGAATTATCGGCATGTTCACGTGGATTTTTGCCGCAGTTCAAGGTGAAATTAGGGTAAATCTGTGAAGATTTTCTATTTAGTTCAAGAGTTGTGGATTGAGCTTGGGAGATAAGTCGGCTTCCGGTTGGTGCTAGGAGTAAGGCTAGAGGAGTTACTGAAGGTTAGTTTATAGGGTTATGTGGATTGGGAGTATTGCGTGTTCCATGGTAGGAAGGAGGTCAGCGTTTGATCCGCCTTCCTCAACCATTATAATTAATTTTGAGAAGGCTGGAATGAAGTCCAAGAAAGAAAGCAATGAAGTTATTGGTACTATCAATTTAAAAAATAAATTCGCGGATACTTTTGATTTGTACTTTTTTTAGCTTTCCTTGCCATTATCAACTTGAATTTCTTGAAAGGAATTGTTAGGATTATTTTTCTTATTTCGATCAATATTGCATTTTAGTTTTTGATTTTGCGAAGTGATCTCATCATATCTTGTTGAACTTTGGTTTTCTTCTTTCGATCTTATCAATTTACATGTTTTCTGTGTTGATTGCAGTAGAATGTATGCAAATTGAAATTTGCAAATTCAAATCCTTAGAATTTTCTTCCTATTTTTTCTTCTGAGCAGTTTCCTTCTCGTCACTGTTTCATGAATCACAGAAGCAGAAATCAGCAGAAACCTGCTTTTATAGCAGACAATTTTAATTCGCTCGAACAGGTATTTTTATTAGCTGTGACTAGAGACTATTTAATTATTTTTTAATTCAATGATTACAATACGATTATACGTGCGAATTTTTTGCTGGTTATTGTATAAGATGTTGGGAATTAGGTGATATATAATTCAAATCACCGCGAATTAAAAAAAAAAAATCATGAAGCGGTTCAACACACAAAATGCATCTAGAATCATGTACATAATGACTCAATTGATGGTTACATATTGTTGCAGCTGCTACATATTTTACTTAAATTTTTTATTATGGATTTTTACTGCCCTAATCTCTCCGATTTCTCCTCGACCCTAAAATACAGTGCAAATCTCAAAATACTCTTTATAAAATAAATCATAAATATTGGTTCTCAAGTGTTGATCTGTGATTGAGTGTGGATAAGTCATTTCTTTGTAGGGATGAAATTAGGCTCTACAAGTTAACAAGAGAAGATGCTGTTTTAGTATTTTAGACTTCATTTGGTGTTGATACTTCATTTGGCGTTGATATGCTTTACTAATTACTATGCTACATGAACTAGAAGTCGTGAAAATTCCCCAATAGTCTCAAGAGATGATTGAGCTGCTCTGTAAGTGAGTCCTTTTTTGTAATGCTGAAAAGGGGGTGCTTGCGTTGGAAGAGATAGATTCTATCGTCCAACAAAAACCAAAACAGCTTTTTTTGGAAAACATCGAGAAAGCAAAGCACATCAACTATTAGTCCTGGTAGCTGCCTTAGTATCACTAGTGCTTAGAACCATCACTGTCTTCGTTTAAATGGTTTGACAATCAAATTCTTTTATAGTGTAGTAGACACGAGAATGTTTTTATGTTACATGATTGTACATTTTGACGTGCCTTTTGGATATATGGTTCAAAGACAAACTGGATGCGTGAAACTGTGTTGCTTGTCTTGCATCATTGTTACATAAGATAAATTCAAATTTGATTGCTGTCTTGCAGAAAGTTCTTGGTTTATGGTAATATTTGTTTGTTGGAGCCAAATTTCCCTCGTTGTGGTATATCTGCAATAAATTTAGCCTATACGCAGTTTCTTAACCTATGTTATGACCTATGAGATCATATTAGCGTATGTTTTTATTTAAATGCTTTAAAGTCCAATTATCATATACAGGTAACATCAGCATTGAGAGAATCTGGTCTTGAATCATCAAATTTAATCCTCGGCATTGACTTCACAAAAAGCAATGAATGGACAGGTGATATGATGCTTTTAGTAGTATCAACATATTGTTGTTTACCATTTACTACGTTTCTTGTTGTCAGTTTGAGATGTCTAAAAATTAACCTTAGCTGTCAAAATACAACAGGAAGGCGTTCATTTGGAAGGAAATCTCTACATGCTATTGGTAGCACCCCTAACCCATATGAGCAAGCCATTTCTATTATAGGACGCACCCTTTCTGCCTTTGATGAAGACAGTTTGATACCTTGTTTTGGATTTGGTGACGGTGAATACGTTCTCTCTTATCTTCTGAGAGTTTGATATGTTTTTTTGCTTCTTGTGACTTTTGATTTTTGACTTAATGAAATAGCATCCACTCGTGATCAATATGTCTTCAGCTTCTTTGCCGATCATCGACCTTGTCATGGTTTTGTGGAGGCCCTTGAGCGATATAGGCAGATTGCTCCTCATCTTAACCTATCAGGTTTCGTAATTTCCCCAACCTTATAATGTCCTTGAGTAAGAAGAGCTCTTAAGGATGCATTTCATAGGGTCAATCATGGTATTTGTTACTTTTATTATTTTCTAGCTTCCTTTTAAGTTTATGAATTGCTCTTATAGTTTTTAACTGCATCAAGTTATATGATCTGTATAAACATGCTACTTATTCCTCAAGTTACCTCTAATTGTAGGAATATAATTCTTCTACTCATCAATCATCCATAGCCAGTTCATCCTTTTAGAAATTATGGATATGTTCTTTCAAGACAGACTCATTGTCTTTAGTAGTCATTGAGATAATTTTTGCCCAGTTGTTTGCAAGATAGTTTTTGTCCCAGTTGTTTGCAATGATAATTCATGAAGTTAAATGATATAGGCAATGCAAGCGTTCAGGGTTTCTAATGCAAATTTACCTAGACCAATCTATGAATCAGCAGATGTTGGTCTGCCACAACAATTTATAAATTACCTTTGGTATCCACCATCAGTAATAAACTCAATCTCACCTTTCATTTCAGGAATAAGCTGAATAGGTTTTTCTGGTAGGGTGTTGGATGTGAATTCATAAGAGGAGGAAAATAGAGAAGAATTTAAGATACTAGTTGCATTTTTATGAAATAAAGTCAAAATAAATACATTAAAGACATGATTATTATCAATGCTTATCAAAATTTTAAGTCTGTTTTAATTTTAATACATTTCAAAATTTTATACGACTCTACTTTTCTTACAATTAATTCTTATGGGCTACCATAAATATCTTTTTTGGCTTTAGGCGTACCATTAACTTATCTCCTGATTTGAATTTCACTTGCCTCTTTTTTATATTAGCAACAAAATTTTAAGTGCTATACTTTTTCCCTGTGGGAAAAACTCTCAAAGTAGTCCTCAAACTGTTCGTTTGTGGTCAACTAAGTCCCAAAGTATAACCTTTTCTCCAATTAGTCCCTAAATTATACAAAATTGGTCCAAAATGGTCCCTCATGTTATAATTGTTATATCAAAATTGTCCTAATTTAGTCCCACTATATAAAGTTGATCCAATTTAGTTTCAAAAGGATCATTTGGATCAATTTTGCTAGTCAAGGGACTAAATTAGAGAAACATTATATTTTGGAATTAAATTGGCCATATTCAAATAGTTAAGAGACTATTTGGAAGTATTTGGAAGTATACTCCATTTTTTGTGAATTTCTTCAAGCAAATCATGCATATGCTTTGTAAATGATTGTGCAAATTCACAAGATCTAGATTCAACAAGAAGCGTAACAACGTCTTGTGTTTTCTAGGCTGATAACCTGTGACAACTTCGAATTGACTTTTGTTTTTCAACTTATTAATGAATGAATTTTATGCAAATCAGCCATTAGTAGTATGAAATCCCATCTAAATGTGTGCTCTTTATTTAGACAACTTAATAGATCACCTAAACTCCCATTAACTATTTTATTTTCATCATCAATTTGTGGGTGATGAAAGTTTAAATTTTAATTGGGCTCCCATTTTTTCCGGAGAGTTCTTCAAAATTTTGTCATAAATGTTATGCCTCTATTAGAGACAATTGTCTTAGGTAACCTTTGCAACTTAACACTTCATTAAAATACAATTTTAATATATGGTACCTGTTAGCAATTTCAAAACATAAAATAAAAAAGTGATCAATCACTATAAAAATAGTGTCATGTTTCATTAGTGTTCATGGCAATTCTATTACATAGTCATTATTCCTATTCAAGATTTGTATGGAATAGGAATCGGTGTATAAGATCAATATTATGTTTGTTTCCTTTAGCTGTCTAGCAGGATCTGCTGAACACAAGAAGTTTCAATTAATTCTAATAGTAGTATCTTTTCCTTAAGTCCTCTTTCAGAATTGCTCATAGGCCTAACAAAATAGGAAAATATATCATGGTATTGATCCATATATGTTGATTTGAATTCGATGGGCTGAGTTGAAATCATGCAGTAGTGAAGTAGACCTACATTATTCAAAAAACTAGAGATGATGTCCTGTTTGCATAGAAACTGGCATCATACATGTTTTACACAATAAGTGAAATAAAATACACTGAGACAACTCATCTAGATCATCAATTTCTATTCTTTTGATTGAATATGCTTTCATTTTTTTTATGTCAATTAGTTGTGATAAGGCTAATGATGGCTGTGATGGTGATTTTCGATGACGCATATTTTTGATGAGGAATGCTCTTCATGGAAATTTCAGCAAGAAAGTATCATAGGGCTTGACAGAGGTTTATTTGTCAATAGAGACGCCATCTCTTGCATAATTATTGTCTCAAGTTTTAAAAAATTTACATTGTTGATATATGAATTCATTGATGATTAATATTCTCCATTAGATTTTAAGAAAAAATTTCTGTTTTGACAGATCTGTTAATGCATTCATGATGATCGAGTTATTCAGCTGGTTTAGAATCATTGCACCAATTCTTATTATAATCGAATAAAGAATATGCTTGATAAAAAACTCATACCAAATTGTTTATTAGTCTTACAATTCTTTCGATTGTCATGCAGGGCCAACCTCATTTGCTCCGTTGATTCACGCAGCAATTGATATTGTTGATAGGAGTAACGGACAATACCATGTGCTTGTGATTATTGCTGATGGGCAGGTTATTAAAGTTTGAATTTCCGTGTGGACCTTTTCTAGTTTAAATTGGTTCAAAAATGATTCCGCAATAATGCAGGTTACCAGAAACCCAGACGTACCAAAAGGGAGTTTCAGTCTTCAAGAACGTGCAACAATAGATGCTATTGCTCATGCAAGGTAAAACGCTATAGCTCATTTTTAACATATGGGCTTGCTCTTTGCTTCCACCTGGGCATAGAAGTGGCAGGTATCGTGTGTGGCCTGTCATGTGGCCTGTCATGTGGCCTGTGTGGAAAGCTGTTATTGCCGCACTCCCATTTAACGAAAAAAGTGGCTTTCCTGGCCCCTCTCTTAGGCTTCGTTTGGGACGGCTTTCTTGTTGCTTCTTAAAGCAGCTTTCTAGTTCAATAATTAAATTTTTTGTACTAGAATGCTGCTTTAAGAAGCAACAAGAAAGCTGTCCCAAAAAAGCCTTAGGCTTCCTTTGGAACGGCTTTTCTACTGCTTCTTAAAGCAGCTTTTCAGTACAAAAATTACAAATTTTATACTAGAAAGTTGTTTTATGAAGCAGTAAGAAAGCTATCCCAACCGAAGCCTTAGAGTCGGGTCTAAGAGAGCAGGGTAGCGCATCAGTCGCATGTGTCCTTGCAATGTTCCCAACAAAGCCTATATATTTCTGCTTAGTTTTGAACCTTTTTGACTCTTCAGTCTCTATCCTCTTTCAATCATTATGGTTGGTGTGGGTGATGGACCTTGGCATGCGATGCAGCAGTTTGATGATAGCATTCCTCAGAGAGAATTTGATAACTTTCAGGTACGTTGTTAGGCTGGGAATAGTACATTTTGTCGCTTGAACAAATCTAATAAAATTTGATCAAGTTTATATTCAAATCTGACTTTTCATGCGTTTTACTTTACCATTGGGTATACCTGAAAATGGTTTAAAAAGTTTGTTCTAAATAGGAAAATAAAGAGTGAAAGGAAGTTCTCACAGGAGTTTCAGATGGAATTACGAGTAGCATAACATAGTAATAAGTACACACATTTGCGGAGGAGCAAACAATGTTTCTTTCCCATGACTATATTTCCTTTTTTCTATAGCAGTGTCAATCATCTCATAGACCACGCATGTTCTGCTTCCATGTTTCATATGTATTGTGTAGAGGTGATAGATCAGTGAATCTTGATGGGGATCTACTTAGTACTCTCCGAGTTGGCAGATTTTTGTAGAATTTGTTAGTCACCGCCATCATCATTCTAGACTGTTACGAAACTAATCAGACCGGCCCAGGAGAGGTTGGTCCAGTTCTATAGGAGGCGGGCTAAGCCGCCTCCTTAATTGGTTTGGCCAACAGGTGGGCCCCCCTTGAGGAGGCAAACATGAGAGAGAGAAAGGGGCGGCTAATGCATAAGGAGAGTTTTTGAAATTGGAAGATTTGTATTTAAGGATGAGGAGAGGCTAGGGTTAGGGCATGCAAAAATTTGGATTTCTCTTGGAGTCTCTTTGGCGTCTTGGGCTCTAGGCTTCTTGTCTAGAGATTGGGAGAGAACGATCCTCCTCTTGAATTGAGGATCAATTGTATCTTTGTTTCGTTCGTGTTTCGCTTTGCTTTCTATAAGATTATCTACGTTTGATTGTTCTTCCACCATATTTTCTTCGGTCTTCTCGCTGTTTTACCGATTATTGTTAGGTTTGCTTTCAAACTCAAGTATTTCCCATTAGGGTTACTTGCGAACTCAAGTATTTCCTATCATAGGCCTAGTCTTTTCTGTTTGGTTTCGATTATATACATTCTTCAACTCCTATTTGTCATCTTTATTGATGTCAGCTAAACTTTTGTAATTATTTTGATGCTTTTGTTTTGATATCAATACATAGTGCTCTATGTGGTCCTAGCTTTTTTGACAAGTGGTCATACGTGTGTAGTTTGTAAACTTCACGAAGATCATGTCATCAAGCATGGAAATAAGAAAGATGGAAGCAGCATTTGCTTTAGCTGCTCTTATGGAAATTCCATTTCAATATAAAGCAACTCAAGTCCTAAGACCTATAAAGTAAGTCTATTACATCCTTATGTGCTAATTATTCTTTGTGGTATTTAATGTCTTTATTGCTTCTTCCAACCCTTTGTAATTTATCAGAAAAAGAGTAGGTCAAGTTAGCGCATCACCAGTTCGTCCTCGTCCCTCTCAAGTTGTTGAAATGGATAATGCAGCGAATTCGGCATCAAGTAGCATAAGTACTCCAACGGAGCAGGTACTGTGTATTTACTATTTAGGCTTTAGTTTTCATGACCAAACATCAGATTGCCTTTTGCTGCTGCTCTTGTAGGCCTGTCCTATTTGCTTAACAAACCAGAAGGACATGACATTTGGATGCGGTCATCTGGTAAGATTTAAACATTACATGGCTGAAATGATGTTGAGATGATAATTAAAATTAAATTTAAATTAGATAAAGCATACGAATTATTATGTTTGTGTTATCAATAGATAATGTTTTATGATTTGTTTTATCAGTTTGCTTAATTAATTCATCAGCTACAATAAATGTGATTTGTTCATTTTTACATTCATGAACCCCTTCTATCATTTTAATTATTTACGACAAGAAGCATGATTTAACAACCTCATGTTTAAGACTAGACTCAATAACTTTTTAAAAGCTCATATTCATATTCATGTTCTAATTGCAGTTACTTTTATATATAAAGTTCATTTTAAGTAGGTTCATAATTTCTCGCATATTCAATCTCAAATTTGTGTTCTGATTCTTGCTCAATTTTAGGTTCAAGTTAACAAGATATGTTATTATAGGCATAAATTTAGATTCTTCATTAAAAGAATTCAATTGTAATTATAAATATTTATTTAATTTATCCTCAGAATAATATTCATAAATTACAGTTTGTTTAATAGGATTAGATTTTGCTATGCATGATTCTCGTGTTAGTAAATGTATTGTTGACTTTCGAGGAGATAATGATTTTTTCCTTAGGGACCTTAATTATTATTACAAGAGCTCCTTGCATAATTACTATAATCTAACTCAATAACCAAAGATTTGGATGAATTCTCAAATAGTGTGCTTTTTATTCTTATTTCTTGCCTAAGATTTAATGATTAGAGAATAGTAATTTAATAGTCTCGAGGAAAATGATGTCGAGTAACTAAATCATATTGTTGATCTCTATTATATTATTCAAACATATAATATTCATCTTATTTATAATATTTAAATTGTTAATTTAGTTGATCTTTCTATTCTCCGAATGATATGAATGGATCTTTAAGTTTATGTTTTAGGCCAACCCATATAGCTTTTTCAATTGCAACACGTTAGAATGATTGAGCCCACCTTACTAGTTTTAACACTCAAGTCTTTCTCAAGAAATTTGGGAACTATCAAAATTCTTGAAATGATGAAGATTTACACCGCCAAACTAGAATCAAATTATAGCCGACCTGTGCAAAAAAAAACTAATTGCAGAGTATGTAGATGTAAAAGAAAAGGGATAGAAGTCTCTAAAGATCAGTATGAGGGGAAGGCTTTCTCACAAGACTTTCAATATGACCACATTCAACAGCCAAATTTAAGAGGAATACGAAAATTTATTGCGCCAATGTCGAATTTGGCATACTAAAACTTCATTTGGGACGGCTTTCTTACTGATTTTTAAAAGTTAATGACGGCTTTTCTTGCTCGCCTATTTACCCTTCCAATGAAAAAAACTCGCCGAACCAGTCAAAATATGTTCAGTGCGTGCTTGATGCAGTAGTAGTATGACTACCTATGATTACTAAAACATGGTCTGCTGCTTCATAACTAACAAATTATTAGATGTTATTCAATGTTCTTATAAAAAAATGGCAAATCTTTATTTAAAAAAAAAAACATTTTAATTTCTTTTTCAGACTTGCAAGAGCTGTGGTGCAACATTAGAAAGATGCCCCATATGTCGAGCAGCGATAACCGTGCGTGTGAGGCTTTACGTTTGATGATAGAATAATGCAACACTGGAGAACGCAGCTAAATCATTCGTATGAAGACTAAGGTTTTGTTTGGGACGGTTTTCTTGCTACTTCTTAAAGCAGCTTTTTAGTTCAATAATTAAAATTTATGTACTAGAAAGATGCTTTAAGAAGCAACAAAAAAGCTGTTCCAAACGAAGCCTAAGACTTCGTTTGGGACGATTTTTTTACTGGTTCTTAAAGCAGTTTTTCAGTATAAAAATTTTTGTACTGAAAAGTTGCTTTAAGAAGTAATAAGGAAGTTTTCGTAAACCAAACCTAAAGTTATCAGTCTTGTGCAGTATTTTTCTTAGTTTTAAACACTTGCGTGTATCTTCTGTGTGCCTTCGGAATTTGGCTTCCAAGGATTCGAAAAGGATATAAAGTGAACCAGTTGCATCAAGGACTACTCATTTGGTTCAAGGAATCTATCAGAGTAGCTTCCAACCTGTTATTATTTTCGTATTAGTTTCCAAATCTGTGATTCAGTAACTGTTACTGTTTGTTGTGTGCAATTGCTCAATTTTACTGAAAAATGGAACTTAAAAAAAAATTAAAGAGCCTGAAAGAGATGAGAGAGAGCTCCAGCATACAAAATATGGAGAAATAAAGGGCTACAGTTCATCAACAATGCACCAGTCAGCAAATATGAAATATCCGCCTATAAGAGATGAATTTGCCATTCAAAATATTTTAAAAAATAGTAAGAAAATTATCCTTATTCCCGAATGAAGAATTTTAAGAGGATAAGATGAGTTTAATTTATTTTATTTCATTAATTGGTTATCTATGAATACTTAACAAGGACACGCTTGGGACTAGTTTGAATTTTTTTTTTGGTTTAAAAAATATTTTAATTTAACGTATATTTAAATGAATACAATTATTTTTGAAAGTGATCAAAATAAGTTTGCTTGTTTTGATTTTTTTTTTTAAAATAATTATCATGGGTTGCCTTTATTGTGGCATAGCCATCATAAAACAAATAAATAAATTATATTCTTAAGATTCAAAAAATATTTATTTTTGATAAAATATAAATAAAATAAAATTAAATTATAAAAAATAAAAGTGATCTCAAACTGATTTTTTAGCTATCTATTGGCTATTAACACAGATTATATATATATTACAACTAATAGTATCATCACTTTTTAGCTACCTATTGGGTTGTTCTGCACTAAGAGGCAGAGATACGACACTACTTCAATGGGAAAGTTATTGGGTTCGGACACAAGATGTTATTCATATTCCAATGAAAATGTGTCACATCACTATCTATTCGGTATTGAGCTCGATATTGAGTAGTATCAAACAGTGCCGAGTTCGGTACTATGAAGTACCGAATGGTAAGTTGTGTCTGGTGTTACATATTACCAATTTTTTCATATCAAATATGAGTGGTATAAATGAAATATATGAGTGGCATGAAAGAAATATAAGTGCTATATTTGATATTAAAATAATATAGGGTGGCATGCATGTAATATTAAAATTTTAGGTGTTATATATGTAAATATGATGATATAAAGTGACATGTATGTAAATTTTCCTAAATTTTTGTATAAAAACTATTTAAAAATTTATAAGAAAGTAATCTCAAATAAAACATATATGACAACAACTGTCAAAAATATGACGACAAAAAATCATTGGTAGAAGCTGTATTGGCTAAAATTTCTGTAGAATTATAAGTACTGACATACAACTCACATTAACCTGTTAGTTGAGAGCTTAGGCTTCCAATTAAGAGGTCATGCGTTCAAGTCTTTGTGTATGACCACTTGTACTACTACTAATTTTTCCATAGCAAATATTGGCAAAAAATCCATTGGTATCACTTTGGTAGCTGAAATAACACTTTTGACACTCAAAGAGCTTAATTACGACTGACACAATTCCTGATATTGATGTTAACCAATTAATGTACAAACATGTAAAACTGTTATGTATTTTCAGAAATGATATAACATTTTTCATTCATAATGATGCTACCCAGTTTACAAACAATCACTCCTATTCGGTAAATTATTACATTCGGTGTCCGGATTCGTCCAGACATCAATCCAGACGCGTCACATCACCAAAATACACCGGGACCTAGTATATTCTAATGACGTGACGCGTTTGAATTGGATGACCGGACGTAATAATTCGCACTCCTATTTATCATTGGTAAAACATTTTTCACTTATGAAACTATCAGAGAGTAATTAAGCTGCTACTTACTCTATTGATTAAACTGTTCATACAAAGAAGAATTAAACATCTTAAACAAACACCCACTTTTAATTAAACATCTTAATGTAATTAAAACATGCATAGCTTAATTACATCACTTAAACACAAGACTAATCAAGCTCCCTCCACCGTACACAATACTGGGAGGAGCTGCAGGCTTCAAAGCTAAACAAATTAACCACGAGTAGCTATTTAGCTTATTATATAACGACATATTATATATAGTCAACAAGAGCAAATTATTGAACACCAAAGCATAAAAACAACCATTAATTAGTTAATTAATCCCTACAGACTGAAACCTCTGCTCCTTATCCATAAACTTTTGCTTGGCATAAACTTCCATATAATCCCCAAACACAAACCTCGGGTAGCCAGCTTTCTCTATTTTCCCTCCGCCGCTCATCACCGCCGGCTCGATCACCGCCTCCAGCGCGGGGTTATAGAAGGAAGCAATAGAGCGACGGTTTCCGTTGGCCGAAGCGAGCACGCGGTGCAACGCGCTTTTGTAACGCCCGTTGCTTATGACCTCTATCTGATCTCCGATGTTTATTACGATGGTGTTGGCGAGTGGCTGAACGTCGAACCATTGGCCATTTTTTAGTACCTGAAGGCCGCCCACTTTGTCGTCTTGGAAGAGGAGGATGAGTCCGCCGGCGTCGGTGTGGTTTCGTAGGCCTCCGACGCGGTCAGGACGCGGGCAAGGCGGGTAGTGGCTTACTTTGGTGCCGAAGAAGGGGTTGTGGCTGCCATTACCTGAGAAGGTTTGTTTGATGTAGCCTTGGCTGAGGCCAAGGTTGTCTTCCAGGATGTTCAGCATTTTCTCTGCTAACTTCTTCAGCTCCAAACGGTATTCTTTCATTGTTTCTCTGTAGACATTTCATCGGCTCACCCATCAATATCAAGCTTTGTAACAAAAGCTAGAGATTTTTAGTTGAAATCCACATTTAATTAATTTTTTAACAGTTTATGAGATAAGAATGACAAGTCATGCACAAGATGGAGTTTTTATTACAGCATAAAATTCATTAGTGATGGTCAACCTTATAAATAAATGTCTAGGGGAGTGTTGGTATAAAATTCATTAATGATGATCAACCTTATAATCAAAGTTTCAGCTACTCAGAACCATGATATCATCGTCCTATCCATTTTTTTTTCTAGAAGGATGCTTGACGATGTGACTAATCTTTGGCTGACCTAGAAGAGGCACTCACCCAAAAAATTTCTTTCCCCGCTCTTGATTAGCCCCACTTAAGAAAAGTTGCCCTTCGAGGAGAATCAAGTACGGATTATGAGGTTTTCAATCTTACTCGCTCACCAACCAAATTAAGCAATGGTGGATAGTTCTATCCAAATTAATCAAGAAAAAGTAGGAAAAATTAGTATGGAGTTCAGTGTTCATAATAATTACTTGAATTGAAGTGGATTGGATGGCCATTGGTTGTCATCCTGCAGGATAAAGACATCCTCCCAGTCCACATCATCCAATGTTTTGCAAGCTTCTCCACTATCAATTAAGTCATTCAGAAGCTGAACAGCCTTGGAATCCTTGAAGCCCTCCTCTCTCTCCATCTTATAACACTCTGAACAAACCTTCTTAACTCGGTCGTTGTCATGTTCAATCATCGAGAAATGTTTTTCTATAATCATGTTATTGACTAGTTGAGTTTTTCGATCACTGGCGATCTTCGTTTGAGAGTTTTCATATGCAAAGATTCTGATTTCTCAGCATAAATTTATGGCCATAATCGTCAAGACTATTTTTTTTGTTTAAGTTATTCAATAAGTTTTGAGAAATTCAGAAACTTTTATATGAATAGCAATTACGTCGCTTGTTCACTGTTCATTATCAAATTTGTTAATCGTTTTTTTTCTTTGAAGACGATTGAAGAAGATGAACTGACGGTTTTTTTTTTATTTTTTTATTTTTTCATTTGCGGTTACCGTAATTGAAAAGATGCAACTATTCGAGAATTGAAGTTATTTAATGTAAAACGGCATTTTGAATGGTTTAAGCATAAATTATTAATGCTGTTGTACTATTGCCTTAAAGAAGACGGTTACTTTTCATTAACTGTTTGGAATTGTTAATTACAATTAATAATTCACAATTATTCTGTTTTATGTGACGTTTCTCTAATTGAGTTTTTTGCTAATGAATATTTATATTCATTATAATATTAATTGATTTGACATCAATGCAGAACTTTAATCATAAGCCATTCTTCATATTAATGCTTACTTAGAAGTTAGAACTGCATATAAGATAATATCTATTTTTTGTTTGATGCTTCGTGAAACGGTACGAGCCATAATTAATTAATATCTCTATATTTCATTTCCTGTATTGGATTGAGTGGCTTTTGATTTCTTCTTGCTATAGTTAATATTCATATGAATTTTTTTTTCATGGAATATTAATTCTTTTGTTATGTTTACGGAATTGGATAAAATAAATAGGAGATGCTTATCTTATTTTATGAGAATATTTCTCATTTAATTTAATTATTCATTAATTTAAAATTAAATTAAATTGAAATAATATGTCACCAAAGTGACCTCTATTAGATCAATTTATTTAATATAAAATTAATTGAATAATGCTAAAGATTTTTCTAGTCTATGCGAAAATTAATCGGCCCAAAGGAAGATTAATTTTTGGTCGGACTCAAAAGATATAGTTATAAATATTTGATAATTTAAAATTATTCATGCATATAGTAAGTCGGTCCAAAGAAAGGCTTATTATTGACAGAATTTTTTATCAATATTTATTAACTATAATTTTAAGAGTACCATTTACAAATTATAATTTCTGTCCAAAGACTAAATTATGATGTTGTTTTAGGTATCTTATAAAGGGCCCACCATATACTGTTGCTAATTGTGCGTTAATTTTGTTCTTTTTCAGTTAATGTTTCTTCTATATCTGCCAATTTGAATAACATTCCAGTGCTTAATGGCTCTAATTTTAAGAAATGGAAAGAGCACATTACTATTGTTCTTGGGTGTATGGATCTAGACTATGCGATTAGGACTGAACGCCCTCCTGCCCTTACTGCGGAAAGCACTATTGAACAAAGGGCAAATTTTGAAAAGTGGGAGCGTTCAAACCGCATGAGTCTTATGATCATGAAGCACTCAATTCCAGATACCATCAGGGGTGCAATGCCTGAGGAG